GACACCAATATTTGGCGCTTCAATCTTGGTCACCGAGGAAAACAGTGTGAGAAGTGGGAAGCACATCTAACTCTTCTGAAAGTTGGAAACCGGGCTATAATTCCTCCAGCCTGGGCTTTGATGTGTGTGTGCTTACATGTGCTTATTACTTTAAGCTGTTCCATGTGTATATATTTGTATATGTGTGTGTATCACTGTGTATATACACATATCCAGAAGTAGATGTATTTATATACATATATACACACACGTAATGATACGCTAAATAAGCCACCAGTCCCACCCTTAAAGTGTCTTCAGAAAATTAACCCATGGAATAAGCAATAATATGTGAACTATAAACATTCTCGCATGTTGGCAGATAACCATGCTACACATTCCCCTCCAAGAACTGAGAATGAGAAGAAAGGGAGTAACACAATACCAAAGAAATGCACTAATCAAATCCATAATCAACTTTGATGGTGGAGCACGGATTCTAATCAAAACACAATGGGGTAAAGTTGCCACAGGTTGTAAGCTTGGAGCTGAGTGCTCTTCCCAGGGGCCTTGCCTGCACTTTCTTTTTAAACATCTAAGACACCCACAGAGGATTTCAATCGATTCTAATTACTTTTATAAAGAAATGAGTTGCAAGTTGAGCACCAGGCTCCTAAAAACAGGAAATATCGAAGTATTATATATATATAATTTCCCTCCCGCAACTGCTTCTTAAAAATAGGCTAACCTCTCTCTCTTCAAATAGCTCATGAGCATTCCTTATCTGAAGGTCGGCCGGACAGGGTTTCTGAACTAACACAGAGCCTCTCTCTAAAACAATCCTTTGCACATGGTCATAATTTATACACCATGTTAATGGAGCAGATGCTATAAATGTTCATTCTTGGGGGAAGGCCCAGGTATCCCAGCACCAGGGAGGGAATGTGGGAGGGATGTGCCGCTGCAGAGCACAGTTCCCCCGCTGGGGGTCGAGACCCAGCCGCAGGTTTGTGGGAGAGACTCAAGGTGAGGGGCTTGGGGAGCTGAAGGTGGGGCTGCACCTCAGAGCTATTTTTCTGGCTTGCTGCCTATGTTAGGTCTTTTCATACTTGATGGAGATGGAGAGCGGGTTTAGGGGAAAATGAGCTGTCACTGGCTGAAGGGAGTTGCTGCATAATGAAAGAAGCCGTGAGAATGGCCCCCTTTCCCCTATAACTACCACGTTGAATATTCTGAACCCGAAGCTAATAATAATAATCACTGTCATTTCCCAAAGGTCTGTTATAAACCAGGTCTTTTATGGACACCATCTCCCCAGCTTCTCATAACCACCCTGCATGCTCGGGATTACGATCCACCAGGAAGCCAGCATGCAAATCCAATCTTCAGCTGTGAGAAGACTGTTCTTTTGTCATCACCATTTGAAAGAAAGATGCTAGATGCGGAGCAATTACCTATTGCATAAAGGCGCAGCTCCCCTGTGGGGACATCAACAGCTCTGCACCACAGCGTGGCCCCGCTCATCCTTCCCGGTCATGCCCCTCTCACTTCTCCTCATCCCCACCCAGCCACTCCTGCCTGTCTCTGAAGCCCAGCCACCTCCTGCCTCCTCCATGAGGCCCTCTGGACTTCTCCAGCCATCACGGTCCTTCTCTTCCTTTGAACCCCAAGCATGACTCTCAGTCTTCTCTGTGTTTTGCCCTGTTGCCCTTGGTATATTCGGTCATGCCTCCCAACTAGACTATAAAATCCCAGGGTTTTATTTACCCTGTTCATCTGCCAGAACATGCTGAATGAAGCAGCTTTGGAGAGTGGGAAGAACACTGGCCTTGAAGGCAGAACAGCCTAAGCTGGGATCCCTGCTGCACCACACTAGAGTAGGATGACCCGAAGCAAGTAACTCCGCCTTGCTGAGGCTCACTTACTCCTCTGGCTCAATGGTTAGATCAGTGGTCTTATAAATCAGGGCCTCAAAGAAATCAGGAAGTCTCTGTGGTTATCTCTGTGTAGCATCGTGGTTAAGGACTGTCTAAGTCCTAATTCTGCTTCTGAAACTTGCAAGGTCATTAACACAGTCTTTGCCTTGGTTTCCTCATGAGTAAAACGAGAGTAATAACACTTATCTCATTGGACTGTTGTAAGAATCAAATGAGGTATTTTAATATAATATCTTTAGAATAATTCCTGACACATAGGAAGTGCTATGTAATGATTTACCATATTATTATTATTATTGTTATAGAAAGTTATTGTTATAGAAAATGCCGTATCTGTTTTGAATGAGATCATAGGTAAAGATGAAATGAGATCATAGGTAAAGAGTCTGGCATATCAGGCCCTCAAGTGGTTCTGCCCTTCCCTCCTAGTCCCACTGTGCCTGTTGTACTAGGCAAGTGATTGATGCTCTGAAAATCCTTGTACACCAATTGATACCTTCTCAAGAGATTAAGAGAATAAGCTATGCACACATGCCCTATTTCTTGCTTAGCAATATAAATAGCTCGTTTTATTGTGTCCTTTATTTGCCAGACACTGGGCTAAATGCTTCACATATGTTATTTTTCTTAATCCACACTATTTGTGTGGTTGTTTGTGCCCATTTTTACAGATGGGAACACTGAGGCCCAGAGAGGGTAATTGACTCGGTCCCAGCTATTATCACATGGCAGAGATAGGATACCATGGATATCCACCTGGCTTTAAAACCTGTGCTGTTGACCACTGCACAACCCAGCCTTCTGCCTAAGACCCCTTAAGTAAAAGGAGACTCAGAGGCCCCAAGACATCATTTGCCATTTAACTTATCATTTCCTGAGTGTCTTCTAGTGATAAATACGATGTTTTGAGTTGGGTACTACCAGATGTCAAGCCAGACACAGTCCTTAAGCCATAATGTAGAGGCTTTCCTATATGGTGAGTAGGCACCCTGTCAGGCAGACTGGGAGGTAGCTGGGTCCAAAAAAGGGAAACTCCTTTTTGCCAAGGTCACTTTGACACTAGGGTAGGGCAGTAAGAACAGGATCTGCCACTTGTCAGAGAAGAGCCCCCAGGAAGCCCAGACACATAAGACAAGGGTAGGCTGGTAAAAACCAGGATAGCCTACTGGGAAGTGGCCAATTTCCTTAGCAGTCCATCTAGACCATCCTCATGGTCAGTGCACAAGATTCCACTGAGGCCAAGGCAAGGTGGAATGGGGCATTCTTGGAACTGTGCACCAAGGGTGAGGGAGGGAAGCAAAGCCTTGAGGGAATGAGACCATGTCAGCTGCAGAACCTTTTTTCAGGAGGGAGGGTGATGAATCACCTTTCCAGAGCCTACCCAGTACAAGCCCTCCAACAATGTTAAGTAAAAGGTCAAAGGGGTGAAGGCAGAATAGCTGCCTGGATATGAAACAGTCAACCCCAGCATCTACTTTCCCTCTCATTCCTCAGGTCCTCCTCATCAGGCTGGATGTGTGTCACATCCCAGGGTCACTGCTCTGGCCTCCCACATAAGCCCCACCTCCAAGGATGGAGAAACTCTGCCGAGAGTGGACCCCCCCAAGTTCATTTCCATTTCAGAGCTCGTTCGTCCTGTAGCCAACAGCAGAAAAAACAGCACAACACAAAACCTTAGCAGAGACAGGCCTGAGGAGCAGTGGGGGAAATCTTGCCTTCCTCCCACACGCCATCGCTCAAACCTGTCAGCTTCCAAAAACGTTTAGCAAGTGCAGCAGCAAGGGGCATGCTTATCAGCCCGGCGTAGGAGCTTAATCTGCTTTGAGGGCCTTCTCCAGCCCAGAGCTCCAAAAATCTGCTTACAATTAGCTTCCAGCTCCAGTTCCTCCATCAGAAAGGCTAGGAATGTGTTGAGTTCTAGCCTCTGATCAGAGAAAGCTCCAGGAGAAGGTGGAGACAGCGTCAGCAGAGAACTAAGTGCCAAAAAGGTCAGCTGGTCTGTTGCCCCTTCCCTGACACCAGCCCCAAACTGCCTCCCCCTCTGGCTTCCCGTCTCTCCTGACCAGGACAGTCATATCCGTCAAGCAGGCCTGTCCCCAAAAGTCCCTGATGACTGTCTGCCAAAAAAATACAGCGTGCCCCTGCTCACTCCTACCAGAAGAGGGAAGAAAAACAGCAGGCAGGGCAGGAGGCCAAGAGAACCTGATTGGCCCTTGCTGATTTCCTTAAAAGAGATTGAATGGCCAGGGCCTGTCACCCAGCCGAATTGGGTGATGTGAGCTCTGTCTGGAAAGGTGGAAGTCGCCACTTCTCCTCAAGCCACCCCTCACCCCCACCCCCAGTCGCCCGGGTACCAGCACCGGGATCTACTATCCAGGAAGGAGGGGCTTAGCTTTGGGCCGCCATTCTGAGCAGCCACCCCCCCTCCGCCGCGACAGCCGGCCAAGGCGCGGGGAGCCTCCAGCTGGCTGCCTCTGCCCGAGCGAGCGCCGGGCACTCCCACTGCGGTCCCCGCACCACGCTGGGAGTCCTGTCAGTCCAAGGGACGCAGCAGGGGCAGGTCATCTTCCAGCCGAGGGAGCAGGTTCACTGCCACCCCCACACCCCTTTTTCTGGATATTGCAGCTAGGGGGGCATCGAGCCCAAGGAGACCTCTGATCATTCCCTGTCAGGGATAAAATCCCTGCAGAACCGACAGACAGACACAGCCAATGCTGCTTTGGGGGGACCAAGTTCTCAACATGCAGGATCTGAAATTTCCAGCGCTGCACACGTTTTTGTGGGTTTTTTTTTTTTATTATTATTATTTTTAAGAACACTTGCCCGTGCGCCCCAGAAGGAAGCCACAGGCGGGCCCGCAATCGGGTCTCACATGGATCCTTAAGGCAAACCTAGGGCACCCGGGCCACACCCACCAGCCAGCACGCGCTCCTAGCGCATCCCCCAATCTGCCGGCCTACCTAAGTGGAACGGCTCCCTTCTCCGCCCACAGGGTAGCCCTTTCCCCCCATAAGGCCACGCCACCCCTCCAAAACGATTCACCCATCCCCCCAGGACATTGCCCGGGCACGCAGCGCCTCTCACCTGGGTATCGAACCCGTTTTCCACCGAGCCGGTCTTCCGCAGCGGGAGCCCCTCCCCCGCCAGCTCCTGCAGCCCCTGCGACTTGAGCGGGATCTGGCTCGGGAAGGCGGTCTTGCTCACCTCCACCTTGCTCCCCAACTTGAGGTAGCAGGGCTGGGGGCCGGCCCGGGCCGGGGGCACGTGCAGGATGGGAGCGGCGCTGTGCACGGGTTTGGGCAGTCCCGACTTCATTTTGGAGGCGACCAGGATGGCCGGCATCTTCTCCCGGGGCTTCGGCTTTCCCAGCACGTCCCTGGCAGCGGCGGCGGAGGCAACCGCTAAAGGCAGCGCGGGCAGCAGGGCAGGCGCCGGGCCTCGGCCCGCGAGGCGCCCACCACCAGTGGAGAGGGGGGAAAAAAAGAAAAAAGAAAAAGCCCGTATCGGGGAGCTCGGAGCAACCCGGCGAGCGCACCTTCGGGCGCGGGAATGCTGCGCAGGGCTGGCCGAGGCGCTCAGCCGGTCCGCCCGGATGGATGCTGCAGCTGGGTCTCACGCCCCTGGGGTAGCCTGTTCAAGGGCTCTGGGCGCTCAGGGGCTGTTGCCTCTTGCGATTCTCCTCCTGGGGACCCGAGGCGTGGAATCCCATATTAACTTGTCACTGCATCTGCTCTGGAGAGAGGCGGCGGGGACGCACGCCTCCCGCTCCGGGGGCTGCGGGTGTGAGCCGGCCGAGGAAGGAGCGAGCCGCGGAGGGAGAGGGAGGGCGCAGGGAGCCCAAGACGTCTCGAGACCACCGAGAGGCAGCTGCACTCGCGAGCACCGCAGTGTCACCCGCTACGCAGAGGCGCAGCGAGAGCCCCCGAAAGGTCTCTCTGGGCGTGACAGTCAGTCACCACTGCCCAGAAACCCCCCGGACAGACAGCACCTTAACGCCTGCGGGTCTGCACATGCTCCGTGCGCTAGAGCGCGGCCAGGCTGTGGCTGTGCGGCGCGGGCACCGGCGCGCGCGGCTGGGCAGGGCTGCGCTG